GATCCAAGTGGGATCGGGGCCGCGATGCTGGAGATCTCCTCGGTTCATGGACCAAAGGTGGTCCTGCTCCGTGCCAAGTTGCTACTTTTGTGGGGATGTTTTGACGACAGTGGGAAAATTGTCTTGGATGCCGGGGCAGCGGCCCTGGATGGTGAGGACTGCATCGGTAGTCTGCGGCGGGGCAACGGTTGTGACGACTCCTCTTGGCTATGTAGGTAACAAGAGGAGGGGTGGCGTGTGGCGGGTGGCCCTGGTGTCGTCGTGGCTTCGGCGGTGGTTATCCCCTGGTTTGGATCTGGAGGACTGGCGCGGACGGCCGCAACCCACACCCTTGTGGGTTGCCTCGGTAACCTTGAGTCTGCGGGTGACACTTGTGTGGGTCTGAGCGAAAGCTCTGCACTTCGACGCCAGCAACAACGGCACCTATGGGTTCCACTTCTCTTTGGGGGTGTTGTATGGGTCCCCTCATGGTGTTAGGGGTCCAGGGTGAAAACCCTTGTCCGGCTCTCGGAATCGACGACGTGCCAGGAGGGCTGCGTCGAGGATCCACGTGATGGTTTACTGATGGGCCATATTCGTCAAGCCCATGACGCTAAGAAGGGATATTTCCGAAGGCTTGGCGTCTACTCCAAGACTTAGAGGTCGTCTACACCATGATTCCCTTAGACGTAACCGACCTATGTATAAACCCTAGACACCTCTGGTACCTACATAAGCCGAGGGTGAGGGCTCATAGACAACACACAATGATCTCGCGGTAGATCAACTTGTAATATGTACTCCCTCGAATCAATACAATCAAAGTAGTATCTAGGGTATTGTCTCTTCGATAGAGCTCGAACCTAGGTAAAATCAGGTGTCTTTATTACAATCGCACCAAGGATACTTGTTCAGGACTCCCTACCCGAGATCTGCTGGATTTGACTCCATCACCGCCACCTATAGGACTCCGACAGTGCCGGCCCACTCAAATCTCCCTCTCTGTCCACTTTTCTTCCACTTCGCCTCTACTTCTCCTTGCTTTTCATCTGCACCCTCCTCGTCCGACGCTGATGATGTACCTTCTGGCCACCGCCCAGGCATCACAGGGCATCTACAGCACCCACCAACGCATCTGCCCTCCTTTTACTACGTTGCCATCCACTGAGGATCCCTCCGCATCTAGGTACCCCTCTGCCCATGTTGACGACGTCCATGTCGGACACCAGGTCTGTCAGGTGTTCGGTCACATGCCATTGAGCTTTTTTGTAACTTTTGTTTTCTAGAGTAAGCACGATGGCAGGGTACTCGATGAAGGAGGATGAGTTGTCTTGCAATGCGTGGTTGGACACCCCGAACTGTGCGTCTAGGCCGGATGGTAACAGGAGGCAAGGGACACGAAGTTTTACCCAGGTTTGGGCCCTCTCGATGGAGGTAAAACCCTACGTCCTGCTTGATTAATATTGATGATATGGGTAGTACAAGAGTAGATCTACCATGAGATCAGAGAGGCTAAACCCTAGAAGCTAGCCTATGGTATGATTGTTGATGTG